GCCCCGCGGCGGGGAGAAGAAAAGGAAGAAGAAAAAGAGGAAAGTGGCAGCTAATGCGGAAGATGGTACGTTATCTTAACACGGACAACTTGTCTTTCAGGGCTGAGTTATTCTTGGAGAGCCCAAAAAGCGCATACTTTGGGTTTCCGCCCAGTCGGAAAGGATTTGTCGGCCGCACTGTGAGAAGTACCGTGTGTTGGTCTGGTGTACGTTTTAAAGCCCTGGAGGTCTTCAGTATTACGTGTTTTATGCCAACTGTAACATTTAAACTAACACTTACTAAATCGGTAGCAATGAATTTAATTGTTGCATAGGATCCTGCTTTGTTACATTAATTTTGGATGTTTGGCTTGTTTATTATGCAAAAATATGTACTGTCTTTCACAGTAGAGCTTTGACAGGTGCTTATATGTGCAGCCAGTATGTCTTTTTAGTAACGCATCCAGCCTTCGGCAACATCTGTATATTATGACACCAAAGTATACTGGAAAACTACCCCAAAAAATTGCATCCTGCAAATATTGCTAGATTTGTATATATTTTTATACCTATATGTGTATAGATGCATATATGTATTTGAAGCTTCTATCCCTTAGGTATTTGATCTTTGTGACATTTGTCGTGGTTATGCAAATAAAGAGGTGCTTTCATGCTCTGAGGATTCAAGTCCTTAGAGCAGAGAGAGTACATTTCACGTGTCTTGAGCACAAACTGTGTTGGAAACTTGATGTCTGCATTACAGAGAGAAAGGAATTTTGTAACTTGTTTAAGGATCATTTCTCTTGTTTCCACAGAGAATGTCATATAATATGCGTTAAGTTTCATTGTTTTACTATGCAAAGTGGATTGTGTGGAAGGAACTTGGGAATTTTTTGATCTCTGCTTCAGAAAGTTCCACAGAAACCTTGCCTCCCCTTCTCCTGCCCTGCTCCCACTGCATGAAAAAAGCATGACATTTGTACATGGTTTACAGACTGAAGAAATTCACTCTGTGGAACAACTTTTAATGATGAACATGTCCTTCGTATCTCTAACTGACTCGTCTTCTCTAAAATAATGCTCTAGATACAGAAACTAAAAAGGCAAAAACTGAAGAAGGTGAATCTGTGAAGGCAGAAGATGAAGATAAGCAGGATTCTGGAGAGAAAGAAGTGGAAGAGGAAGAGGGGGAGGAGGATGAAGTGCCCAGTTTACCACTAGGTGTAACAGGTATCTTGTGTTCTCTTTTTCATGCATGTGCAAAAAGCCAAGGTCTAACACTTTCTTCCAGAGCAAGTTGCAGTTTTCAGATTAGCTTTATAAGTCAGGTGCTTGAATATAGGTGACATGACACTAGCAACTGCACAACTGTTACTCAGTTACTGTTCTTTGAAATTTGCGTTATATACACACTCCTATTAGTCTTAAAATTACAGTGAAAATCTGTTTTAAAACGTAACTACACACATGTTTAACTGTAGAGGAAAAAGTCAATGAAGAGCAAGATGGAGGTGTATGACTAGTAAATTTGGCAGGAGAAGCAGTGCATTCATGTTCATTTTTAACAGCTCGGTGTGGTAGTCTGAGGAACACATTAGTACTTTGTCAATGTCTTCAGATTTTATAGTAGAAAGGAATAAGAAAAAGTCCTTTGCTTTGATTTTTTTCTTCATCTAGGTCAGTTTTAGCTGGGTAATCTCAGGGGACAGATAGAATTGAAGAAATAGGTTTGAATATTTTTTTTATTTCCCCTCCTCTCATTTCAGGTGCTTTTGAAGATAATTCTTTTACTTCCCTGGCTGGTCTTGTCAGTGAGAATACACTGAAGGGCATAAATGACATGGGATTTACACACATGACTGAAATTCAGCATAAAAGTATTAAGCCGCTTCTGGAAGGCAGGTAAGAAATATGGTTTTTTAATCACTATATTACCCCAAACGTTGTGTAAATTTTGCTAGCAAGCTAAATATATGAAATGTGACTTTCTGCAGATAAATGTGGTTTTTTAAATATGTTTTTATGTATTTTGTTTACTGACATTAATGTAAGTGAACAAAGTATATCTGTGTTGCATGTGAACGAATACTTAGGATAAGCTCATGGAAACTGCTTTGCATTTGGCTTTGAAAGCAAGGAAGTGTGTCTTGTTGGTATGTCTCAAAGACACCATCTCACGCTGTCACTAGAGACACGGCAACCAACTGCTGTGGACTGCATCTGCCACCAAGCTCTTGATACTAACTCTACTGGTTTTCTTTAAGCCATGTTATGTTTTTACATGGCGAACATTGTTCAAAATAGGATTGTTCTTTTCTCTGTACGATCAACTAAATGTTTCTTTTTCTGACTTTGCTACATACAGGGACATATTAGCAGCTGCAAAAACAGGCAGTGGCAAAACACTTGCGTTTCTTATTCCTGCAGTAGAGCTCATCTACAAGCTAAAATTCATGCCTAGAAATGGTAAGGGTCTTCATTTCACAGCTGAATTTTACTGTGGCGCAGCCATTTAGGGATGTGGCTAGGAGGGGGATTGGACAAACTGTAGCTTGTTCTCATCTGATTGATGTATTTTTTTTTAGGAACGGGTGTTATTATTCTTTCTCCTACTCGAGAGCTTGCTATGCAAACCTACGGAGTTCTTAAAGAACTTATGAATCATCATGTTCACACCTATGGTCTGATAATGGGGGGCAGTAACAGATCAGCAGAAGCACAGAAACTTGGAAATGGAATCAACATAATTGTAGCAACACCAGGAAGACTGCTGGATCATATGCAGGTAGATAAAATATTGATGTCTAGTTTGCATTACTAAAACATGGTAAAACTCCTATCTTGTTTAACTGAATTTGTTAATTTTCTAGAACACTCCAGGTTTCATGTATAAGAACTTGCAGTGTTTGGTAATTGATGAGGCGGATCGTATTTTGGAGGTTGGATTTGAAGAAGAAATGAAACAGATCATAAAGCTTCTACCAAGTAAGAAAAAAAAAAAAAAAATCTGTCTTTCCTGGGTATCATTTGACTAACATTATGTCTTCTTTATGACTCAATTACTATAAGAGAAGTCATTCATTTTTATAGTTCTGTAAATGCACTTCAGAGTGATTGTCTTACTCTGTCCTTTTTTTCTGATAGCTAGTATATATTGCTTTATTTAACATCATTTATCTGAAAGACAGAGTTTTCATATGCACTTTAGGGATATAATTCTGTTCATATAAGATCCTTTTAGTTTAATGTCTACGTTCTCTCATTCATCTTCCTCTGCCCGTTTATTTCCTACAATTCATTATTTCCTAATGAGGCTTAAATATCAGGAAATAGCTCTTCTGACTTGCAGTTTGAATTTTCTTCATACCTCCAAGAACAGTATCGTAAGGAAGTTTAAGTATTTACCTTAAAATTTTCTTTTCCTAATTTTTCATTTAGTTATTCCTTGTAACTGATGTATTAAACACATTCTCAGAGTCAACAAGACTCTCCCTTTAACTTTCAAAATGCAGGAAAAAAAAAAAACATGGAAGTAGTACATAAAAAAAATCAGTGATAAATACATTGAGGTTCCACATCTTAAATATTAAAATTCAGATCTGCATGTTTAAGATGCAGATGTATAAATTTTAAAAATAACATCCTGTGAAGAATGTTAATGAACAGTGCTAAAAATGGAAAGGAAAGGAAGAGTGCAAAAATGACAAGTTCTTTCTGAAATGGAAAATAATAGGTAAAGAAGTTTTTACTTTGCATGAGTTTAATTTGTTTTCGTCACATTAGGAAGCAAATTATATTTTAAAACAGACACTTCAAAATAAGAAGAAAAAAATGGTACCGGTTGTTCAGCAAGAACAATTGCTACTGTTCTTGCAGTTGTGAAGTGGAACAGACTAGGTCTGCATTTTCCGTGTACTCATGTAACAAGAAAATGTTACAGGATCAGGATATATATTTGAGCTGAGAGATTACAGGCAGGCAGGAGATTTCCTACACCTGCTCCAAGACCATTGAAGTCACTGAGGCTCAGTAGAGACGTACTGCCATGTGACTAAATAGCATGCACAAATGTGTATGTTCTAGACTGAATTTGCACAACAAACAGTAACAAAGCACTGTAGTTTGGTAAATTTTTTCTTCCACAATCTCTAGCATGAATTTTTTTTTTAAAGCAAAACTATTTTAATATTCATGGGAATGAAATCAATTTATAGTTAGAATTACAAGGTTGGTCTCTATTTAAATCATTGTTTTGTGTCTAAATTGGTGTGCAAATGATTATTAACATTTTCCCAGAGAGAAAGAATACTGTGTTTTGATAGCTGTTAGGATTTTGGGGGTGGAGGCAGCCTAAGTAAACATCCTGTACAATCCATAATACAACTACACTTATCTTTGTCAGTAGCAGTATGTTTGAACTAGAATTTAATTGAAAAAAGTAGACGACTTGCTCAGAGAAGTTTGCAGCTAGAGATTTTATGGACTTGTTATTTGAATTCTCCTTTAAAAAATGAGGCTGTCTCAAAATATTTTTTCAGAGCGCAGACAGACAATGCTTTTTTCTGCTACACAAACCAGAAAGGTTGAAGATCTGGCAAAGATATCTCTGAAGAAAGAGCCACTATACGTTGGGGTTGATGATAACAAGGAGACAGCAACAGTAGATGGTCTTGAACAGGTAAAACAAATGTTATTAAAAGGTCTGTGAACATACCAAATCATATGTGTTTTTAACTAGGTTGTACAAACACTGTCTTAAAGGGTGTTTACCATCCTAATGGGCAAAAACTATCAGTTGCCTAAAGGGCTTTATTCAGTCTGCTAACTATAGTAAGTTATATGCATCTAGTCAATGCAGGATAGATGATAGAAAACCTCATGAAATAGACAAGTGTAACTAACTATATTACTATTCCTATCTATATTACATATCTAAGTTCCAGTTGTCTTTCTAACTGTATTTTCCACGTTACTGACTAGAGAGAGATAGATACATACTTCAGATATATTTCATTGTTGCTGCTTCAGATAATAGCTAAATGGAGTTGCACAGCAGTTTCTTGCGTTTGTGCAGTTGACATGATGACTGTTACAAAATTACCAGTAGCTATGTATTACCTTAAAAGAGTAAACTAGTAGCAAGAATTGGGTAAAATAAAATTCTTGAAATCATAAAAAAGTTAAGAACCCTATGTCATTTTTTTCATGCCTAATGTCAGTAATTCAAAGTTCTTGAAATGTATTTTTATTACATAAGCTAACTGCTTTTCACTGAACTTACATTAGTTTGGAGAATCAATTAAAAATTACTTCTTCATATTTCAAGTTAGTACAGTAAGTTTCTTGACAAGTTCATCATCTTTAGTTTCATATACCAAGGTGAGGGACAGACAATAAATCAGATGGTTTGGCCCAATACAGCTGGAAAAAATAACTATTTGGCGTATTTGTTTCACAACATAACACTTCCTTGATGTAATTGTATTGCTGAAGCAAAAGTTTGTTCTGTACTACTTTATTTAACAATATTTAAAAATTTTCCAGGGGTATGTAGTGTGTCCATCTGAAAAAAGATTCCTTTTGCTCTTCACATTCCTCAAGAAGAATCGGAAGAAGAAACTAATGGTATTTTTTTCTTCATGTATGTCAGTGAAGTACCACTATGAATTACTCAACTATATTGATCTGCCTGTTTTGGCCATTCATGTAAGTATTTTATTCATTAATTTATTTTTAATTAATTTGATAGTACCTGTAAGTTTTTACTGACCTTACCTTTGCGTTGTTTATTTCAGTCCAGTTTCTAACAAACAGACACCCTGCTCACAAAACTGATGATGATCTTGATTAGTCTGTAGAGGAAGGAGATAAAGCAAAGACTATGTAATAACAACACTTCAATATTGTTAATCTAGCTATTTTACAAAACAGGGCTGAATGCTGATATTAATTTATGCTCTTGTTTGTAGAATGCTTTGTGTTTTCTTCCAAGGAGTTGCCTTGCACAAGCACTAAAACTCAATTTGTGGAGCAAAGCTATTGTCAGAGGAATCCAAACACTGATCCTTGAAGTGTTGGGTGCTTTTTCTAAGGCCAGGGTGATGTTTGGTTTTACTATGCCAATTCTTACCCCTTAGATGAGTATTTTAAATTTTTTTTGTCAAAACCACAAAATGTATAATTTAGGAGAAAGAATTCACTGAAAGTTTATGAAACAGTTATAACTGACCACAAATGTCCTTTTCTATTTTGTTCTTTGGGGTTTTTTTTTTCGCTATACTTTGATAGAACTGTTACAAGTATGGTGTGTGTTTTGTTTTTTTAACCTGTAATCTATCTAACATACTGCTAGAGTTGCAAATGTGCTTTTTCTGAACTTCAGGCCTATATGCAGCCCTCCTGAAAAGAACACTTATACAACGAAATTTTTAATGCTTTAGAAGATACAATGTAACCTCTGAGAGATACCACTTCATGTAGCCCTGTGCTGTTGGCTGTGGTAGCATTGTTTCTTTACTGCAGAATGGTCCTGCTTGGTCTGTACAAGTCCATGATATGGAAAGATGCCCCAAATTATTTTATATTTTTGGCAGTGATTTAATATGTGAAATGGGAAATTAGATTTAAGCTTACAAGTTGGCAGGTTTTTAGTTTGGGGTTTTTTTAGTTGATATTTCATCCTTAATGTGTTTGTTTCCTTTCAGGGCAAGCAGAAACAAACCAAACGTACTACAACATTTTTCCAGTTCTGTAATGCAGAATCTGGAATACTGTTGTGCACTGATGTAGCTGCCAGAGGACTGGATATTCCTGAAGTTGACTGGATTGTCCAGTATGACCCTCCAGATGATCCAAAAGTAAGTTAAGGAAGTAGAGAAACTTCACAGCAACAAATCAAATCCTAGCTACAAACATAGTTGCAGAAAAAAGCTGAAAACTGCTGCTTGAGAGAGATCAGGATTCAGCCATGCTCATATCTAGCTCCTAATTTCTTCTACTTCCTTTAACCAGCTCCTAGGAAATGCTGCACCCAGCTGACACCTTCGTTAACTTTTTAAAAGTTGCCTTTAAAACATTATTCTTTGTGCTGTTAAATTAGTTTAAAATCTAATCAGCTAAACAACAAAACATTTCTCAGGAGGAGTATGAGTTTATATATGCATCCCTGAGTCTCCTAACAGCTTTTTCAGTGGAAATTTGATCATAATTTAGAAGTCAGTATTCTTATTTGAGTAAATGTCCATGTAAACGAATGGAACTCAAAAAACTCTGAAGTTTTGACAAATATACACAGCAAATATACCAAAAGCAAAGTTTAGGTTTCAGTTACAGCAGACCAAATTTTTTTTTTTTTTCCTTCAGTAAAAGGCAAAATACTTTTAGTCCGGGGTTCTGTCTCAGCCTAATTGTGCTTTGCATCTTCAGCACGTGGTTTCCCTCATCCATGTGTCAGTGCTAAGAAAAAGTCTTAAAAAATAACGGATGATGCATTACACTATATTAATGTTAAATTTTGGGGGGGGGGGGGGGGGAAGCTGTTTTATTACATGTTTGAAAGACTGATTGGACTTGCTGTCTGTTATTCTTTCCAAAAGGAATACATTCATCGTGTTGGTAGAACTGCCAGAGGCATAAATGGTAGAGGACACGCTCTGCTCATTTTACGACCAGAAGAACTGGGCTTTCTTCGTTACCTAAAACAAGCCAGGGTAAACTTACATCTGGATTTATTATTTTTTTTTCTACTGTGCAACAGGTTTTTAAAGGCAAAAACTGTGATGATTAATCAAACATTTAAACTTTTTAAGCAAAAAACATTCTGTTGCTTAGAAAATATTTAACTGAACCTTGACTTTGAAGTCAGCAGCACAAAGGTAAATACTAAGTGTATTTGTAGTTGCTTTACCACTGTGCAACTTGTGTTCTAAGAAATGAATAAATTTCCTGTGACTTTTCTGTGGAAGGATACTGGGAGTTTGGCCATTCAGAGGAAATCAAAACCCAGATGTTGCTTGTGCAGTTTTTGTTTTTTCTATTCAAAGAGTCAATTGGATTTTGTTTAATTCCAAAAGAAGTGTAGCAGCCTTCTAAATGTAATCATTTTGATATGACCGAACTGCACATGGTTCTTGGTTGTTCTCCTTATGGGCTTGTTTACACTACAGAGTTTTGCCACTTGCAACTAAAGTGGTATAGCTTATAAAGCAAAAGCTAAAGCAGTAAAAGTGTCATACTGGGCATCTTTTTTATTCTAGCTTAAAGGAAGTGATAGTACTTGGCATATTGATGTAAAGGCACCTTACAGATACAGCTGTGATATTAAAAAAACATCTTCTGTTATCTAGTAGGTCTTTTTCTATTTGTCTTAGGTCTTACATATTCACTATTTACACAGTATAAGTAATTTTGGTATTTTCTTTCTTTTAAGGTACCACTAAGTGAATTTGAATTTTCATGGTCAAAAATTTCAGACATCCAGTCTCAGGTATGAAATGACTTCTTTGAATATCTGTATAATAATTTACATGGAGAATGTTAGTCTATAATAACTGCAGTTTAAAAAAACGTATGCTTGTTTGGAAAAGTTCCTGTAGATGAGTACTATGCAGCAAATCCTCCTGCCATGTTGTCCCTTGATGACAGTAAAGTGATAAAATGTTTAGGAATTAAAGATGAATTCTAGTATCTAGTACTAAAGTGTCATCAATATACGGTATGAATTCACTTGTAAGAATTGTTTTTTCACATTGCATTGCAAAACCGCAGTGATGTAAACCTGCGTTCAACTTTTGAACAGAGTGTTCTTGTCTGGCATAGCAAACAGGGTTTCGATAGCTTTTATTGAATAGTTACGTATGCTCACATTAATTGTGAGTAACATATGTCTTATAAGACGATTTACTCAGACTTCGGTGTGCAGAAAGAGATCCAGTACCAACACTTAGAAATGTTAGTATATAATCCAGGTATATTTTTAACTAGCTGATGTTAATGCAGCCCAGCATCAGACAAACCTGTTTTGTGCTCCAGTGCTACAAAAATAGCCATGGAGCCCAAAGTTGAATACAATAGCATAGATAGTCTGTACATGTGAATTTCTATTGTTGTTTAGTTCTGTGAATCATTCTTGTGATAACAGCTCTGTAAAGCTTCTTTGCAGTAACTTGAATTTGAAATAGCAAGTACAGGAAGCAGTGAAGACACTCCTTACAGAAAGAGGTTCCTAGTTAAGAATAATTAGGAAGTAATGATGTCTAATGTAACTTATTTTTAATATGCTGAATTAATGTACGTTAAACAAAAATGAGACGCTTGGATCTCAAGAGTATTGGGAACTTAGTCCACAACAAATAAAATGTCTCAGTCTACTGCATCTGCATTTTTGTCTTAGAATTAATACTTTTTACTTTAGAATGCATTTGCACCGTAATAGATATACTACATGTAGAATTAGATGGAATTGTACAGTTTAGATGTCTGAGTTAAAAGTATACTGTTGTTCTCCATTAATTCTCAATACACAGTTTCATGGTGTGGCTGTAGTTGTAGACTCCTTGATTAACTTGTTTGGGATAACCCAATTTAATATTTCTGTCAATTTGCATATTTCTGAGGCTATGTACTGTAATTCAGCTTCAGGCTTTTTTGTCCCTCTATTTATTTATAAAAGCACTCTGATACACATATGTGCACTTTACTGTCAAAGGGCAATTTTGCTGAAGTGAATAGTGAATGTCACTGCAACTCTTGCAGTAATTAATCTGCTAGAATATAATTTATACACTTGTTACAGTTGTAATTGGATATGTCTCTTGTTTTGGGGTTTTTTTTGCCCCCCCCCCTCACCAGCTGGAAAAACTGATTGAGAAGAACTACTTCCTTCACAAGTCAGCCCAGGAAGCATACAAAGCTTACATTAGAGCTTATGACTCCCATTCTCTGAAGCAGATCTATGACGTCAATAATTTGGATCTTCCCAAAGTCAGCCTTTCATTTGGTTTTAAAGTTCCTCCGTTTGTTGACCTCAGTATCCTTTTACTGCAGTGTTTCAAAGCTGAATTTCTGCGTTATAAATGTTAAATGCAACTTACTGAAGTTCCTGTGCTACTTCTGATATTTTCTTTTTTGCTATTAATCACATAAATGCATCGTGCTTCAACAATAGTTTATCAAAGAAGATGTTAAATAGCAAATATTAAAACTGCAAAAATTACCTACAAACATCTATGTTTTAGTGCATGTACGTGCTATGTGTGCTTCAGTTGCTGTGAAGTAGCCGATACTGGAATGCATACATGCATATGTGTTCTAGAGTACTGTTCTCCATGCAGAATTATTTTAATTGAAAGGTACATGCTTAAGTTTAATAATCATGGAATACTGAAATAGAAGACTGTATGTAGATCACTGTCAAACCTGCCAGTGGATGGAATTTGAAGCAGTAGTACTTTGGCCAACTTGGTTGGACAACTGGAGGAATAAAAGCATTATTTAGGACCACAGGCACCAAGTTCTAATTTTGTCTGTAGTTATGCAAGTCAACTTTTTGTATAATGCTGCTATTTTTTTCTAACATTAATAATCCTTACAATACCTAAAAAGCAACATTTCAAATTATTCCTTTTTAAGTTCTTTAACCAATAAAATTCCAGATGTGAACAGCAACCATGGCAGACGACTACAGAAAAGAGGTGGAGGTGGGGGATTTGGTTACCAGAAATCGAAGAATGTCCACAAAGCTAAAATCTTCAAACACATTAGCAAGAAATCAGACAGGCGGCAGTTTTCTCGTTAATCATACATTCATTAAAATGGCTTGTGGCATTGGAATAGACTACCTTGATCAAGACCATCTGGCAGTTATTTCCAATTTAAACGGCTCTATTCACACTTTTAGAGGTCTTTTTTAGAGGTTTTGTTTCTGGGAACATCTTTTATCTTTCCATTCAGGAAGACTGTTTGGAAGGGAGACTAAAGATAGAAAGGGAGAACATGGCCAGCTAATTTTGCCATACTTTTTGTAAGGAAGAAGACAGTTGAATGTAATTATCTTAAGTCAATACTACAGAGTTTTTTTATTAAAGAAAGAAAAAATACTTTTAGGTGTTAAAGAAGAATTTGCTTTACATTTACCTCTTTTTCTATGCACACCTCTGAAAATTGTTGGACTATACAACATTATGATTAATGACTATGATTTATGATTAATTTCAGTCATGGTATCTATATAACAAGTACGGTGTCCAAGATAAAAAAAAATCTTATACCACATCTGGAACATGCTTAATACTGTTTCTTTTAATGTTGTGATAAAATGGTAACATTCTAGTGAAATGTTTGGTTTTCCTTCATGTTCTCTTTAAATCTGAATTTATTCATCTGGTAATGTCTAGTGTACTCTCTTATGAATACGCAAAGAAAATTAAGAAAAGCAGATTACATAAATTGAAGCACTTGGCCTAGGTAATGTTTTTTAAAATGCTCCGTAACCTTGATGCAGTGAGAATTTTTGCAGTTGTATCTTGTAAATTACAAAAGTGAATTGCCTTTCAGAATAGTGATGGGCAAAGTCAAAAGATACTAGCACAGGATTGAGGGAGTAGAGAGACTTGGTAAGTGAAAAAGTGAAAAGGCGTATAAATATACTAGAAGGATGTTTTGAGGGAGAAATATAAAAGACTGAAATGGAAGAGGGCAGAATGCACATTGCAAACAGAATGCATGGAGAGTAAGTACTAAAAATACACAAGTTGGGCAAAAGTAGAGTAACTATATTACATTTATTATTTTCATATCTCTACCATTATAGAAGTATGTAACTATTCTTATGAGGCTATAATGGTGGTGGGCAACAGTATTTTAAAAATGTACATCTATCAATGCAGGGAAAGACTAAAATGTCACAGAACCCAGAAATCTGGGCCCCATGTGATTACAGTAAAACAGCTTTTAATTTACATCTAAAATGTAACCTGGAACAAATTATGAATACAAAAGCATACACAGTTACTGCAATATAAAGTGGACTGATGTTCCTTAGGTCTTCTGAAGTAGCATGTCAGGTTTAAAACTATGATATGTGCATTGAAGTATTGCAGAAAAGCATTGCCAGACTTTCTTTTCACCCTTAAAGAAACCAGATCATTCTGGGGGGAAAACAGCATGACCGTTCTGTTGCTAGTGCTTCCACCATTCAGAACTGAGAGTGTTGCCTTTTTTTAACCTTTTTTGTTAAACAACTGACTTGAAGCCCTAATGGACTTTTCAAGACTCTTAATTAACATTTGTTAGATATTAAGAATTTCTGATATGTCAAAAATACTTAAGTAGATGAATTTTGTTACTGGGATTTTAACGTCCCATGCTTCCAGGGTTGCAATGAAAAAGCAAAATCTGCTCTGAATGGGTAAGCAATACTAAGTACATGGTGCCTGGCTTATTCAGTTCTAATCTTTGATTCTGGGTTTTCTTATATATTTATAAATAATAGATGTCAAAATAGTTCTCATGTCTGTTTATTAATAGCACTTTTTAAGAATTCTCTCTTGAGATCTACAGCATCATACAGTTGAAGGGTTCTACGTACACCTGCAAGCTATGCAGTTACAGTGTGGGAATTAATGTACATTATAGTGAAATTAACTCTGAGAGACTCATTAGATGAACCGCAAAATGAATTACTTGGAAAGAGATGTAAGCAAAGCTGCAGTAAACCACTGTAAAGATCAGAGCGTGGTTATGTGCACACAGGCAGTGTGAACGAAGTAGTGTGGAGTATTCATTTGGAACAGGAAAAAAGCTGAGATGATGGGCACATTCAGTGACCACATGTATGACCATGTGCTGCGTAGCCAGAACTGGTTGGGCTTAAAAGTGCATCAGAGTTCTTGCCACTTCTCTATGTAGGCAAAAATCTGCTTCACAGAGAGCTGCTTTTTTCTGTCTCTCCTTGTCATTCTGGGAACAGAAAGCTGACTGCTTTCCCAGCAGGTAGACAATCTTCAGCTCCACCTAATTTTTTTCTTTGAAAGAGTTGAGGCACTGTCAATTTCTAAAGTCTGATATGAGGACAACTGAAAAGCAGGGGTTTGGCACAATTCTGCACAACTCCTCCCTCGCATATATGGTTTGCATTTTCTTCTATACCCTAATACAAAGAAATCTTTGAAATAATCTCATGTAGAAGATGAAAAGACTGGCTGGTATTGCTCTAGACTAATACTAGCTTATCCTAAAGAAAAAAAAAGTTAACACTTACTTAAACATTATAGATGTATAATGGCTGCACAGTCTGTAGTAACTACATAGTCTGCTATTTCACACTGTTAATTTCCTGATTAAACAGAAGATAAATTCCTGAGCTGTGACTAAGTGGGAATTGAAAGAGAGGGGCTTCAGCTTCCTGGCTTGTGCAGATGCAGTTACCTTTCTGTTTGTTTATGGAATCATAAATGAAAAATAGTTTCCAATGAAATATCTATGTGTATCAGGCCGCATCTATTCTACTATGGTATTGCAAGAAGTTTAAAAGATTGTCAAACTGATTGGAAATCTAACGTTTCCTTTGCAACTTACCCTGTTATCAATCTTGTGAGCAGTTAATAGACCTCAGCCATCAGACTCAAGGCTTGTCTCGTAACAGTGACTGATAGGTTGGGGACTAATATTGTGTGCCTTGAGAAATTGCCACCTTCTCTGAGAACCTTGACAAAGAAATTGGACTCTTTAAACCAGTTAAGGGGGTGATCAAAACTGTCCTGCTTGAACTGGAAGATTTTTTTGACAGTTCTTGGAACAGGCCCATAAAGGAGAATTCCATTGCCAAGCTACTGCTCATAATCATGAAAAATCTTGTCATGATATGAGTTTCCTGTGCCATAACGCTGCCGAGTTATAGACAAGCACAAGACTAGTCAGGAAGTGTTGCCATCAAATTTTTCAGGGTGAATGTCACAAGTAGAGGGCACGTTTATTGACAGTGTAGAGCAAGAATACTTGAGAACTGGATAAGGTATTATCTACTTAGGTCTGCTGTAAATAAGAAGTATGTTTATCTTTTGGCAGTAATTAGCCTTTTTGTTTCATGTATGAGTTGATGACCCAATTTAAGCTACCAAAGCTTTAGATACTTTAATAATTTGCTTTTAGGCTAGTAATCTGAGGCTTAGGGGAAGCTCTCACAGGAAGGATGAAATGGACTGTGGTTAAAAAAAAACAAACAAAGAACCCAAAACAAACCAAAACATTGTAGTAGAGGTCTCCAATTCCTTCCACTGTAAAGGAAGGCAGGGTATTGACAGGATACAGCACAAGTCTCTGACTTGGTTTTAGTTCTACCACTGTCCTGTTTAGGAGATAGTTGTCCAGTTACTTCAACCCCCCAAAACTTACAAGGGATTTTACAGAGATCTAAAAACCTAACAACTAGAAAAGAGCCAGTTATTAGCCCTTAAAAGGTGGGTGTTGGTTATTTTTTTCAAACTAAAATAACAATGCTGAAAGAAGCCTAGAATCAACTGGCTTTGCATGTAGAATAAAATCTGTCTCCGCTCTTGACTTTTGCTCTAGTACCTTGATTTCCTCGGGATTTTAGCTGCTTGGCTTGACAGGAGAATTCATGCAACTTGTTTCCGATGCTTTTGTTTGCTCTAGATTTATAGAAGATGTTGAGCCGTGACAATAAGAATCCAGCCTCTTGAACTGGAATGCTCAAAAAAAATTTGCTGGCTTGCATCAAAGTCATAAATACTATAATGCTGCTTGTGTCAAATCTCTTTATTGCGCAGCCACGTGGGGAAGAGATTACTTTTTTTTCTCCCCTTAGCCACCACAATAAACTTTTGATATGGAGTTGTGATGAGAGGCAGAGGAAGGATGCCTTTAGGAGAATGGAAGACAAATGGAAAATCAGGGTGCTGTCTAGACACACACTCACTTTGTTATATCGGTGTCATCCAGCTTAAGAACTGCATTCACCTTTCAAAAAAATATCTGAGCATACTCTACAATAGCAGTCCATCTTCCCAAACACTTCTGTAAGCTACAACACTGAAAAACATAACCATGTACTATTTTTTCCGAGTTGGTCAGAATTAAAAAGAAGAAAATCATAGGCTTGCAAAATCTTGTATAACGGTTCCAAAACTTCTTCCAAACACTCCTCTCTATTTTGGCTGTCACCTGAAGATGTTTAGCCACTTGGGGGTTTCTGAGCTCCTCTATGAGTGGTTGCAATCACCTATGAATGTTGTGAACTGTAGGAGCATTAAATGTGCTACTCTACATAACTAAACCTAGATGTTCACTCGTAGGGGTTGATAGACCATGTGAATTTGTAGGAGCTATTGGGTCTTCCTTATAAGCTCTGGATAAGTGTTCTTGATGATATATTGTCACTTTAATTAATAAAAACCTTTAGGGGAAAACAGACTTGAGTAGCAGGTAAGTTCTGCCAAGTACCTTTCTCTGTTATTAAGAGACATGAGAATGAGTTTATGAATGTACATAGAAACACTAATATGTACAAAATGTAATTTGAGAGCATAAATGTAACCCTAAAATGATGTTGCTTTAAAAAAAAAAAAAAGCAAACAACAACAAAAAAATAGACCAAATGCTTTTTTCCATAGAAATTGTATTCAGTGATATCTTTATATTCCTCTCTTACTTGTGGCAGAATAAGAGTTAGCCAAATAGCTTGTAGTACTAAAAGAGGTAATTCTTTAATACTAGAAAAGGAATCTTTGACCTGTACTAAGCCCTAGCTGCAGATGGCCAGTTACAAAACTATATGAA